GGACTGAACTCACAATCCCTAGCCAGACTATGTGTGGAACGAGAACAGTCTATTCCCCATAGATTACATAAAGGGTTTAGTTCAGAATTATCTGTAGATTTCCCATATCAATATACACCTGAGAAAGGCCGGAGGGTAAAACAGCCAAAACGTTGTGATAACAGCAAATAAAGATGAGGAAAAAATAGTCCGACTATAAATAGTCTAAGAAAAACTTCTCATCCCAGTAATTCAAACGTATTTTTTCTGTGTATATAAATTTTAGAGAAATTTTTGAATATATTTCTCAAACTTAAATTAGATGAGTTAAATTTATTTTTCTATTTTATTTTTCTATATTTAGTGTGTATATAAATATAGGTTTCTCACTAAATTTCCACGGTTACTAAAAAAATGAGACGCAGTGAAAAATGAAGTTTTCCTCATTGCATTCCTTTTATAAATAATGTCTAAGCAGATATATTCGTTGATATATATATATATATATATATATATATATATATATATATATATATATATATATATATATATATATATATATATATATATATGGATGGATGTTTTTTAATAAGCGCTTATACGTAAATAGCGTCGTGGCGTACTACTTAAGTTAGGTAGTCTCGTAAACAAATACTACTGTCGTGAGTTTTATCCTTACGGGTGTTCTACCTTTATGGCATTGTGCTAGGACAAGCTACGGCTCCCTTGTCTATTTCTAGGAAAAACATTTTTCCCTTTAGAGAGGCCTAAATTTTTTTGAAGAAAGGGTGAATCATCCTTCCACTCACGTGTGTAATTGAGCGAGCATCCGCTAACTTTGACCTCTGATATCGGAATTCGACTTCTAACAACTAAGTCACGCGTAAAATTACACCCTGCTCTGCCTCAAGGGTGATGCAAAAGTTCCCAGCAGTTTTTACAATTTTTTTTTTATGGATTTCACCGCAAGCAAGGCGGGATGCTATGAGCACGCAAGGGATTACAGAGAGAGAGAGAGAGAGAGTAAAGAGGCGTGATAGAAGAAAGGATAAGGAATAGATCTAAGCATCTGGAGATGTCGATTGACATTACATTTGAATTGTTGGAGATTATAGCTATCATGGAAACAAGTTATAGGAAGGGAATTCCACAGACGGGAGGTGAGAGACATGAAGCTATTGGAGTAAAAGAGACGGCTACATTTAACAGTTTCGAAAGTGAAAGGGTGGGATCGAGATGCTAGCCTAGTAGCACATCTAAAATCATGCAGTCTGAAAAGTAGCAAAAGTAGCTCGTCGGGGTAGTTACCGTGAAAGTATTTGTAGAAAAGACAGAGGGAGGCGACGGCACGTCTTTTGAGAGAACGACTATAGACGAGATACAAGAACAGGGCCAATTACATTGCATATCCGTCTTTGGATTTTGTCAAGGACCTTAAGACGAAGAGCAGAGGCACCAGACCATATATGGCAGCAGTATTTTTCTACTAAATTTTCACCCAATGCAAAACCCACCAGCCAATCAAAGCAGACAGCTACTGGATGAGGCTGTTGTACGAACGTAAGAGGAGGAAGTAAGTGCAGATTTTAATAATATGTAGGATAGACAAAGTTTGACCCTAGACTTGAAGAGGTTAAAATTGTAATGATTGTCGAGACATCCCCTCGGAAGTCTGTTTCACAAAGCAGTTTTTCGGAAGAAGCTGTCTGAGTGGGAGTTCCTCCTTACAAATGGAATAAGAAGGAAATGATGATGGTTCACTCCCGTGTAAATGACATGGCGGTTGTTAGTTGTAAACGTTTGAACGGATGGAACTAAAGAATGTATCAGGTCATCCCATAAGTTCTGGCCGAATTTTGAATAAAGAAAACAAGTGACCAAATGTTACATTTAATTACAGATTCAATCAACAATGTATTTTCCCTGACTATCTATGACTTCCTTCCATCTATTAACAATTTTACTAATTCCATTACTGCAAAATTCTTTTAGCTTTGATTTGAAGAACTCACAAATGTCAGTTTTAACCTCTTCCTGTGTTGCAAAAGCTGTTTCTTCCAAATGATTCTGTAAGCTACGAAACAAATGGTAGTCTGAAGGAGCGAGATCGGGAGAATAAGGTGGATGAGGAATTTTCTCCCAACCAAGTTCTTCGATATTTTTGTGACATGATTCTTGCTGTGTTGTGCGCATTGTCCTGATGAAAAATCACCTCTTTTCGATTGACTAGAGCAGGTCTTTTTTTCCTCAAAGCTTGGTTCAAATGCTCTAATTGCTGATAGTATATTTGAGCATTAATTGTTGCATTAGGTGGTAAGAATTCAAAGTGAATATTTTTAGCCGCTTCGGCTGCTGAGTTTCCTTTCTTGAACTCATAAAGCATTATATGCCTCAAATGATTCTTGGGTACTTCCATGTTAGCAGGGTTTTAATCAAACAAAAATTAATTTTATTGTTCTTTGAAATAAACTTTGATCAGTTTAAATGCATCTAAATATAAAAATAATGTTCAGCTCCATTAGACATTATAAAATACTCTTTAAATTTCGTTCATTTTAAAAAAAAGTTAAAATTCGGACAGAACTTATGGGATGACCTGGTAGTACCTTTGAATCTTTGCCATGGAAATAGTGAAAGGCATTCGACGTTTGGTCTGGAGGAAAAGGGTTGTCGGATTGAAAATAATCGAAAACAAATACATGTAAACACTTTTGTACTCTATCAAGACTGTAAAGTGAGGATTGGGCGGTTCCAGCCCAGATATGGCAACCATTCTCCATTTTTAGTCGGATCTGACTCTTGTAGAGATAGAGCAAGTCAGGGGCTTTCAGGAACTGTACAAGAAACCAGCTATTTTTCTAGACGCACCTTTCAGAAAAAGTGTGTATTCTGCTATGAGGGAATGATTCTACTTCTGATTCAGTTAATTCTTGGACGAAATTTTTGATAGCTTAAAATTTGTTCGAAATGCAGAGGAAAAAAAACCGGAAACATCTAAATTTAGTCATATATTTCCATACTTCATTCGTCGATACCAAGCAAGTAATACTAAGAGGAGAGAAAAGCAAGAAAAAGAAAAACCATACTGAAAACGCTTCATGTAAAAAATTCAAACAATTTAATACTATTACGCCTACTACTACTACAAGGCCCAAACAAACAATAAAGCGTAGAAAAAAATTCCTATAGAAAATAGACGTAGATAGGTTCGTCTATAGTCCAGTTCACACTCCTCTCCAATCTTTTAAACAGGAGTAGTTGGTTATCACTTGTTTCCTATTTAGGATTGAGTTTCCGGTTTGTGCTAAAGTCTTTTCATTCTCTTTCATTCCCAATAGCCCATTGCGTCTTAGTAGCATTATCGCCTAGCTTGTGGCGAACTGATCACAAAATGAAAAATAATGTAGCTATTTGACTAAATTTGAATTACATCTTCTAGTTAACTTCTTATTCTCTTTCACTTCTGGTGCCCCCTTGCGTCTTAGTGGCATTACCATCTTGCTTGAGGTGAATTGATTAAAAATTAAAAAAATTAAAAATAATGTAGCTATTTGACTAAATTACATCTTCTAGGTAGCTTTTTGTTACGCTAATTAATTAGACTATCCATTATATAGGATAGAAATTCAAATATATGTTTTATTTCCATTTCATACAAATATCTTCACAAAAAGAACTTGTCAGTGGCACGCCACAAATGTTTGACAAAGAAGAGTTTACGAGGTTATAATTTCGGCTAAACCACTCCCCCATATCTGTCTATATCTCTGAGATGAGGTATTATGATTATTTACATTATTTACATTATTTGGACTATTATCCTCATCTTCATCGCCCAGTGGATAAAGACGTTGGTTAGATCCAGGGACTAGACCCAAAGAGTTGTGAGTTCAGTGTTGAACCAAAAACATGGAGAGATGAGTTAAAATGAAACTAACTGGGACACCCGGAAGAGGCATGGCACGCGAAACTAGAACGATCTACCCCCTGTGGACGCCATAAAGGGTTCGATTCGAAATTCCAATCACCTGAAGAAGGCCGGAGCGTACTACGACCGAAACGTTTTGAATATGACAATGAAGATGAGGATAAAAGTCCGAATAGTGAAAATAATGTAAACACTCAACCATAACTAACTTATTGCTGAGACAATAACAGCTGAAAGCTGTTACAACTCGTCCGTTATTAACCTTGACAAGGGTTCAATTAATATTTTTTTCCTTTATGTGTTTCTACTAAAAATGTTTTTATCACTTTAAACGTTATTTTTAGTGGATACTCATATTTGAGTAGACGTTCCGTTTATTTAACAGTCAGTCTTGTTTAATCGGTATAAGTTCTTCGTGGATGAGCCGGTACAATCCCGTAAGATCTAACGACGTTTCCTCTGTCTGGGTGAAGGGGACGCAGGTTCGAATCCTGCTGGAAAGTGCATACTTTCCTTTCATCAAATTTCTCGGCAGAAGGAAATAATTTTTTTTTTTTTTATCGGTATCACCTCATGCAAGAGAGTAAAGCCACTAAGACACAAGGGCTTACACGGTGTAGAAGAATTAGGAACAGAAACATTAATAATGAACGTGAAGAGGAAAGAGAAAATCAGGAGGTCAGTAGATAGTGATTGATATTGCATATAATTTTTTGCAGATTAAAATTGCCTGGAAAGAATGGGGCCGGAAAGGGGTTTCACAATCGGGAAGTGAGAGAAGAGAAACTTTTAGCATAGAATTTACGGTTACATCTATCCACTTCAATAGTAAATTGATGGTAAATAAAGTTTAACAAATAAACGGAATGTCTATTCAAATATGAGTATCAAATAAAACTAAAAATAACGCCTGTCAGATTAATAGATAAAATTGATATTACTTCTTTATAAATTTATAAATTACGAAAATACCCGAACTCGACGACTGCAGGCACGTGCGTAAATAAACCACCATGAGAACTACGTTTATTTTTTTAATTTTATTTTACTTTTCTGTTTTTTTTTTTTTTTTAGTTAACAAGAAGAGGCAGACAAAATACTATAAAACAATAGAGAATAAATAGAAAGGTTATTTTTTGCTAATAAAGCCGGTGGGCGGGTGACCGCGTGTTCGTAAGCGTCGGCCATAACAAAACACCTGAATTATTAACTCTTAATTCTCATTATAAATAACCAGGTCACATGACCCTTCTCCTTGACAAAAGAAAAAAAAAGAAAAGAAAAAGAATTATATGTTATAAATACTATTTAAAAGAAATTAGATCCCATCTAAACGTTTACAAACTCTTATTTTGTCTCGGACGAAAATAGATTTCAAGAGGGAGAAAAATTAAAATAGTTATTTGGGGTAAATGAAACGTGATTAATGTGTGGTTCATTCATTGGCTTATTCGGGTATCCTTAAGGAATATTAATATCATAACCATCTGTGGCAGACCATTTAGGGTGTAAGTCTTACAAAGCATTACAAAGGTGTTCGATCCACATTGTTCAATCTCGTGGCTAATGTTATTGTGTGTTTCTCGTCAGTAAAATGTCGATGTTTGTGCCTAAAGGGAAGCAAAAATAAAAATCCTGCTTACTAAAGACCATTTTTAAAAAAAGAAAAGACGTATTATAGAAGGTCAGGTGGACATTTTCATTCGGAAGATACTAAGTCGTATTTTTGCCTTATGTCTTTTGACGTGTTTCTGCCTTATGCTTCTATCGTATTTTTGCTTTTTGTCATATTTTTGCCTTATGCTTTTTCCTTTTACGTATTTTTGCCTTATACTTTTTCGTATTTTCCTTTACACTTTTGCCTTATACTTTTTGTATTTTTTGCATTATGTTTTTTTTTTTCGTATTTTTGGCTTGTACTTTTGCCTTATGCATTTATGCCTAATGCTTTTTATCATATTTTTATGCTATTTTTTCGTATTACTTTATGCTTTTTAATCGTATTTTTGTCTTATATTTTTATAGTCTTTCCCTTATCCTTTTATTCGAATTTTTGCCTTATAATTTTGCCTTATGCTTCATTGTCGAGTTTTTTTCCTTTTCTTCTTTCGTGTTTTTCTATTAATTGAAGTTTTGTAAATAGCAGTTTTTGAATGTTGAATTTCTAGAAAATCAGAATGTTTATCACAATTGTCTTCCCCTCTAATTGTTTGGCCTTATACATACCAAACCTGGCAGCACAACATGTCATATACCTAGATATAAAGCCGTAACCACTTCATACGATGGAGACACAACCATCATGAGAAGTTAAAAGGTGATTACCGAACAGTTGCCATTCCACAAGTGATGTCAGTTGCCTTGAATCCAGAGTTTTTTTTTCTTAAACTGGCTGCCATCCAAGGAACTAGAATCCACTCTGCCTCATTATTTTACCCACGGCGAAGATGGGAGGGACATTTTCATGCTATTTACAACGCCGATAATCGTTATACCACCTGTAATTTTAAACGAAATTTATTAAACACCTATTGGTAATCGTCTATGTCCTTGTATATTCGTCATCTATCGCTCTATCTATCTTATCTAGCTAGCTAGGCATTTATATTAAGTTATTAAGATGCATATATACATGTATACATACGTAGGAAGAAACTGAGATAGATAGATAGATAGATAGATAGATAGTGAATATACAATGGCAGAGATGAATATTAATAAAATAAGTTACATAGTTCAGTGAGCTGATTCTACTGAGCCCAAATACACACTGTCCAGCCCCGTGTATAAAATTGAACTTCGCAATTGCTATGTCACCTAATTCACGAAACAACGGATTTCGTCTTGTTCTTATCTTTATTTAGTGGTAAAAACAGTCGAATATTTTTCATTGGTGCTGTTAATCGGTTTTCGAAACCAGCTAAAAAGGAAATGCTGTTCGCAATGCAATCGATACTGAACAGGCATTTTGTCTCCAGTCACTTTCTCACTGAAGTCACGTGGTTTCCCTCTGTCTGTTCTACAAATATTTTCATGACAATTGCTCGGAGGAATTATTTTCCTGGTACACGAGTTTAAGCGTGTTACTAGATTGGAAACTAGCTATTACCGTTTTACTCTTGAAATAGCTACATGCAAGCGCCAGTTCTATTCTAACAGTTTTTTCTCACACTTCCCACCTGTGTAACTCCCTTATTGCTTCCCTGATAACTACAATCTTCACAAATGTAAATGCAACGTCAATCACCATCTCCTGTCTTCTTGGGCCCCGTTCAACTTTTTTTCCTTTCCTCACTCCTCCCTATTCTCAGTCTTCTCATTCTTATTCTTTTTCACTCTCTGTACTCCCCTGCATTCTAGTGGCTTTGTCTCCTTACTTTCGGTGAAACGATTATATATATATATATATATATATATATATATATATATATATATATATATATATATATATTAAGTAACAAAAATCTTGGTAATCCATATGGATAATCCCAAGGGGGATTAAATCCGAAGAGCTCAATATTATATCACCTTATATAAGCTTAATGCTGCCCTTCAAAAGTGAAAATTTTAAATTCATTTTTTCAACCTTGAAAGTGAAGTCTGAAGATCCAGACAAAAATAAAATCTCTAGTGAAATAAATTATAACAATGGAACCTTAAAGTGGTCTGTTTTTTTTTTTTTCTGTAAATTATATATATATATATATATATATATAGTACAGGTAATCGATTCGTTGGTATATAATCCGGGGGGAACCTAGTAATATTAATTATGTCTTCATTTTAACAGAACAGATGGATTTTTATAGCAAAAAAACAAAACAAAAATTACCTTAACATAGAAATAGACTATTTCAAGCCGTTCTGTGCGCGACTATAATCAGTCCCTAAGTCACTTATCTCTATGTTGAGGTAATTTTGTTTTTTGCTATAAATATATATATATATATATATATATATATATATATATATATATATATATATATATATATAAGAATGCAAGATTGATATAGATGGAGTAAAGTTCAGTAAACAAAAACACTACTTTTTAAAAAGTGCTCAATACAGAGTAGAGCGAATAATATTTATTTAAAAATTACAACATAAGTATGTTATAACATCACTACAAAAATAGCCATTTTGTTTCAACACTTCCGGTGTCTTGTCAAGTGCTCACATGACAAGATACCAGAAGTGTTGAAACAAAATGACTTATTCTTGTAGTGTTGTTGAAACAAAATGACTATTTTTGTAGTGTTGTTATAACATACTTATGTTATAATTTATATATATATATATATATATATATATATATATATATATATATATATATAAATGGTCGGTTTCCTGTACCCTCCACTAAGTAAATGACTTCTCCTGTTATCCTCTACCTTTACAAGAGCCAGATCAGGACCCAAATGGAGTTCTGTTGCCATGTATGGACAGGGATTTCCCTGCCTTCATTTTCCAGTCTCGGTAGAGTTCAAAAGTGTCTCCTCGTCCTTGTGGATGACAAATTATTTTCCACCGTACACCTCCTCACAGAAGAAACGTCACAAGCCTCTCGCTGCTCTATAGCTATTTCTGTGGAAAGTGCTCAGACGAACTACTTTCCTTAGTTCCCCATTCACGGTTAAGACCTGCCATTCCACGCGCGTTGAATCACCCTCATTCCCTTCGTATTCCATTAGTGAGATGTAAGTTCCACTCGAGTTGATTCTTCCCACGAATCAATGCATCGTGAAACCGGCTCTCAAAAGAATGATTCCCTGATCCCTACAATCTTAACCTGTTCAAATCCCAGGTTAACCGTTATCTTCCCCAGCTATCATCATAAACTGTGCGTCTTACTCTGTAATCCTCCACCTCGAGTGGCACTCGGGCCTTGTACAGGACGAACACTATTATAAAATACATATGCTGCAGAAGATCGGCGTATGAAGGTTGTCATCAAATATAACAATTATTATTATTATTAACAGCTGTAAATAATAGGAAGCACTCAATAAGGAATAAAAATGCGTAACTCATTCATCGTCATGATTTTAATTATGACGACCAATGAGTTACGCAAGCAAGCAGAGATAGAAAATGTTTACCTACGTCCAGCAACGATTCGGTACAAAAATGAACGACTTGTTGGCATAGCAGTCGCCATGGTGGCCAGCACTGAGAGGGGAAAACATTAAATGAAACAGCAAAGTCCCAGACCGTCCTGATCAATAAAATTGGTAGATAGGAGCCTGTATGGGTGGCTGGTTATAATGGCGTTTATTGTTTGGTAGTACGCTGCTTCTTCCAACAGCGGTTCCTCCTGCCGTTGCACAAAAATGGATGAAGAAGCGGTCGGGAATGGTCGGAGCAGTTGGGGAAGTTGGTAATCGTTGTGGTAATAGCCAAGTTCATGTGAGCTTATTGAAAAACGGACGGGAAATTAGAAACGTGGCTAAGAGTGACACACGTGCGAAGATTTGATTAAATGTGACGCTTCGTTTGTTTTCTTACCTCATATTTGGATACAAGAGAATGTCAGGCGAAAAGATGAGAGTAGAAATGTCTGGAGACAAATACGTTGGCTCGTTCAGAAAAATATTGACCGATATTAATAGTGGAAGATTATTCGGGCACCCTGACCCAAGAATATCACCGACAGAAAATAACTCTTCCCGACTGGAGTTGATGCCAACTGAGGATGGGCGTATGCGTGAATAGACAGCAAACCAATAACGCTAAATTCTTTTTTTTTTTTTTACGGCCATGTTCCTTCAAGACATAGGCGGTCGTGGCTCTCCACAGATTCCTTTTCTTTGATATCTGTGAATTACCATAACTTTTTTCCAGTTTATTTCTCCACAGTTTGTGCACCTCGAGGTAGTGTAATGGTTAGCAAGCTTGTCTCGCTAGACGACTGAGAATTGAATTCGATCCTCACTGAGTGGCCCTTACTTTCAGCCTAGTGCCACATCCAAGCTACGCTTGGAAAATCACTATTTCTCCACTGTTTTGAATTTACAGGAATCTTTCTCTTCGATTGTTCGCCATCCAAGTCTAAAGATCCAAATCTACCAAGGTAAATTCATTCCTTTTTTAAATGCCATGTCACGTAGATAACCGTGGCTTCCCACAGCTTCCTTTTCTTTATTATCTGGGAATTGTCATAGCTTCTTGAGAAAAATAGTGGTGTGGTTTCCCATTGCATGCCTCACAGTCTGAATTCAGTTATCCTTTTGTTACGCTGGTTAGAAAGTCTAGTTTTCCCTGTTATTTAAGTCAGAGCCGGTTTGGGGTAGAAATGGATTCATGCCTTCCCCAATTGCATAAGTGCGAAGCGAACCCAACAGACTTGACCGGAATTCGAACTAGGCTCACCGATTCACTTTTCAGCACCGATAACTGTTACGCTGCCAACACATTCCAATTCATTCTTCTTCTTCTACATGCCGTGTCTCATCAGGACATGAGCGAGCCTCGCTCTCAACAACTTCCTATCGTTTGTAATTCTTAGTAACGTTTGTTTTTTTTTTCAGTATTCTGCCCTGTTCTACCGTCCATGTTTAAAAAAAAGGCACGGCACGTGGAATTAGAACATTTCGAAATTCCAACGTGTATCACAACAGCCAAGTTACTAAAGGGAATTAACTGAAACTGAGATATCCAAAAACAAAGACATGGCCCGTGGAATTAGAACGATCTACCCCCGTGAACTAAAAGGTTGTCGTTCGAAATTCCAGCGTATATCAATTGAAGAAGGTAGCGTACAATGATCGAAACGTCGTTAATATGGTAATAAAGATGAGGATAACAGTCCTAACAGTGTAAATAGTTACAATACCGTATCTCAAAAATATAGAAAATAATGGCTGGAGAATACACCGCGCATAGGAAAAAGTGCCGTATTGTTTTCCTGATCATTATATGCGGGTATTGTTCAGGATTTAAGTGATCATTGCTCTCCTCAGTCTTTTGTAACTTTTGACTCTTTATCATCACTCATTGTCTGTGATCTGCCATCTGTTCACACAGACATTTTGCTTTCTCTGCATCTCCTACCTTCAATGATTCGTCTTAGGTTCGTAATCTCGAAATCTCATTATGCATCAATGCGACAATGGTTCTCTACTTCCTGTCACTTACAACTCGCAGCAACGTTTTACTATTTACTGTTGTTGAATATATATCTTTCACATAAACTTTAATAAAAAAATAGTTTAAATTATTACAGTGATATTATCTATATCTATAATTCTCAAAGTGTGTGCGTATGTATGCGTGTGTCTGTGATCGTGTGTTTATGCATTTCCACAGTTTTCATGTGAACGCTCCCGCGCTCGAGGCTGATAATGATGATCAAAGGACTCAACGGCTGAAGAGAAACACCTCTTCGAATGCTGCTGCACGTGAGGCTGAAACAAGATTGGGATGGCAAAAACGGCCCTTTTCAGAACAATCCCCCATTCTAATTGTTAACCCCCCAACCCCCCAAAAAAAATCTGGGGATGTGCCTTGTTGTTACTTGTTACTAATATTGATTTTCGGGTGGGTTGACTTTAAACTTAAACTGCTTCAATTAAACGGCAAAAATTCCCAGTAATGAAAGACCCGATCGAAGAAGCGCTATACTGCTACTATATATATATATATATATGTGTGTGTGTGTGTGTGTGTGTGTGTGTGTGTGTATAAACCAAATAATTAGATATTAGCCACTGTATATACGTGCGTTAGCGTGCATTATGTAGATAAGCGAATATTTACTTAATTTAAACTTGGTAAACTACAAAACTTTAATTTGCACAACTAACTTAGGTATATGCATATTTATTAATATATATATATTAGTCCGTCCGTCACACACTCTAAAATAAACATACATTGACGATTTGTTGTGGAGAAGTGCAAGCAGCAAGTGAGTACAAAGTACAAATGGTTTTACTTGGGGTCTAAGCTTAGTACAATAAATTTTCATTCATTTGTTTGGAAAATTTTATTATTTAATATAGAAAATACTCCCACTTTTAAAAACAATTTAATGATGAAAATAACAAATATTTATTTAATAAAAATGGAATATTGTTTTTTTGCATGTCTTTTCTTTAAGTGTTTATATACAAGAATCCAGTTTCCAGTTCACCTTGCCTTTACGAGAACTTTAAACAAAGCACAAGGTCAAATGCTTCAAAAAGTTGGAATTTGACTCCAGAAAGAAATATTTACGCATGACCAGTTGTATGTTGCATGCTCAAGAGTAAGAAATTCTAAGAATTTATTCTTCGCTATTAAAATGGAAAAAAAAAAATTTCTTAAAAATATTTTTTACCATGAAATCCTATAAAATTAAATTAAAGAAATTATTAAACCGTGAAAAAGGGGTTTCGTCAAAGTATTTTCCCAAACAAATCAGCATATTCAAATTTCATAGATTGGTTTGCGAAATTGAACGAAACGTAGAGTTTGTAAATCTTGACAAAAAACTTCAACAATACTAAAACCTGTGATGACTTCAATACGCATCAACGTGTTTCAAAATATCCGAGTATATCTAAAATGGTGCATATATAAACTATAAATATGCAAATTATTATGTGTATTTAGGCGCGTGTAGTTGTACATGCGTGCGCATGCGCAAAAATATATATTAGTCAGGAATTTCGCAAAATAGACTATTCTATCTCGTTTGAAATGACAAGATTTATACTCTGGATGCGAAATCTAATTTGTAAGGGAATGGCTGAAGTTGATTGCAAAATCTTTGAGCGCATGATTGCTACGGCCGACGGCAGAATGCATCAGATGAAAGAAGGATAAAATGAAGAAAAAGTACAAGAAAAGAGAAAAGAGAAAGAGGAAGAAAATAAAAAGAATAATGAAAAAAAAAAGACAAAAGAGAGAAGAGAAAAAATAATGGGAGAGAAAAGATAGAAAAGGGAAGAGAAAAAAATGTGAAAGGATAATGAATTTAAATAAGAGAAGAGTCGAAAGAAATGAAAAAAAAACCCAGGAATTATGATGATACGAAGATGAAAGAAAGACTCTATTAAGAAAAAAGAATAAGAAAGGAAAAGGGGGAAATAGTTATTTGCTAAACACTGGCACAAGATCATGACAGTGTTGCTCCTTTAATTCTAGAAAGAGAGAGAAATAGATAAACAATCAAGAAAGAGAGAGAAAGATAAGCGGTCGAAAAATAGAGATAGAGAAATAAATAAATAAATAAATATGCTCTCGAGAAAGAGAGAGTGAGAGAGAGAAGCGGTCGCGAAAAAGAAAGAAAGAAAGAAACGCTCATCGAAGAGGAAGAGAAAGATAAGTGGGCTAGTAAAGACAGAGAGAGAGAGAGAGAGAGAGACAAAGAAATATGTGCTTCCAAAAAAGAGAGAGGAAGATAAATGGTCAAGAAATAGAAATCGAGAGAGAGAGAGAGAGAGAGAAATATACAAGCGTTCGAGAAAGAGGGGGAGAAAGATAAGCGCCCGAGAAAGAGAAAGAAAAAAAAAGCAATGTTGAGTAAAAGAAAGAGAAAAAATACCAGCAGTCGAGAGAGAGAGGGGGCGTAGAGAGGGGGTAGGGAGAGAGAGGGGTAGGGGAGAGAGAGGGGCAGAGGAGACAGAGAGAAAGAGAGCAATATATCGAAGGAAGAGATCAGCGTCAAATAAGTGGGGGAAAAGAAAGAAATGGAAAAAGAATCACTAAAATAAAATAGAAAGAAAAAATATTTTCATTGTATCTTCCAGTCTTCAAAATGATACTCTTATGTTTAGGACATTATAATATCCTTTATTTTCTTCCTTGTTTCATTTTTACCTGCGTATGGACGTGAGGCTTTCGTTGGATCTCCATTGTCTTGCGTGCATAAATGCCTACCAAGACACTATAAAATTCCGAACATATTTTTATATCTAGACAATGATCACTCTGTGGTGACACACATCGAAATCAAAATCGTTTATACTGCCTTGTGTGTGGGTCGGCGGGGAGATTTATTTTCCACTCTACAGCCTCTTTCCTCACAGACGCAACGTCGATATTCAGATGAGGTCCATTCTTTATTTCCACCAGTTCAGAGGGTTTGCAGCTAGGACGGTCCATGCAATTTCCACGAAGTCGAATCACTTCATTTCTCACCGTGATCCAAATATAAAAAATTTCCACTCAGATAGCTTTTTACCCCAAGAACTGCCATTTTGTGAAACAGGCTCCCGCGTGACTACTTATCTGAACACTACAATCTTAACCACTTCAAACTTAAGGTTTACTCCCACTTCTCGCTGAAATACTGGTTCCCGTGTGATCACCGAAGTTAAGAAACGTCGAGTTTAGTATGTACCTAGAAAGGTGACCACTTAGGGATATCAAGTGTTGTAAGTTTGGATGTGCCGGTGGCGTAATTGAAAATGGCTCAGAATTGTCAGTCGGAGGGGTGAGTTCTAATTTCCGTTAGGTTCTTTATATTAACTTATGCGCAAATACACTTGGGAAAGGTATGAATACACCTCTTCCCCCCCCCAGATATGGATTAATTAGTAACACTTGTAAACCATTATTATCTAAAACAAAATATTCTTACAATCTAAAAATGTTTTCTGGATTTAAATAACCTGCAAAGTGTTGATAAGCCGTAGAAAACTGCTCGGCCCGGGGGCCTGGATCAAAGTGTAGTACGCTGCCTTTGTGAGCTTCCGGGTCGGCGTCTGTCAAACTCTCTGCATTAGCAGAGAGGAACCAGGACGAAGCTTTGCTGAAGAGCAAGGTTTCGTTCGGGGAGGTAGACATGGCCTGAATCCGTCTAGGCGGGTTCAAAAAGGCTATATTTTTGGCCGAGCCTACAGGCTCGGAGATACCCACATTAAACCGGCCTTGTGCCACATTCTATCCTCGTGGGTGAATCGATAAATACTAAGCCGTAGAAAACGAATCAATCAAAACACCGTAATTTCCATCTGTCTTTCATATATAAGAACTAAGAACTGCCAATTTGTAGAGCAGACTGCTGCGTGGGCGCTTCTCTGAACACTCTAATAATGATGTCTTTAAATCAAGGGTTAATTATTATCTATCTTCTTTCTCCTCATAGTTTTCACTTCCTACCATCTTCTCTTCCATTCATACCATGCATCACCTTCATCATTACCATTTCAACTCTAACCCTCGTCAGCCTTGTATTACGAGAAAGTTAATAAGAAAAGTTTATGAGTTTCAATGCTACCAAAAACTTCAGTACGTCCAAAACCAAGTTAGTAACCTTCCACTGTCACCAAGCAGACCCCGTTGAATGGGTGTTCTCTCAAGTTGGCTCGTCACCTTGAATGTCTCTTGCGATAAAAGCTCACTCCAGACTTCAAGTAGATCTCATGTATTTCTAAAGATACTTGGAAAATGGTCGGTTCATTGTATCACTCCAGGAAGTATCTGACTCTCCCTGCTATACTCTAGCTTTACTCGAGCCAGATGAGACCAAAAACGGAGTATTGTTGCAATATCTTGGCTGTCCCCACTCGCCTTTGATAGAGTTCAAAAGCGTCCACGCGGCCTTCTGGATGATGAATTATTTTCCACCCGACAACCCCTTTCCCACAGACTAGACGTTGTACGCCTCCCCCGCTACTCTATCGCTATTTGTATGACAAGAGTTCTGACGAACTACTTTCCTTTTTAGTACTTTTTTCGTGCGTCACATTTGTCCGGACATTTTTAAACTTCCCGATCCACCCATACACACTTCTACGCGGTAGTACACTGTCGCCATATTGTGTTAAAAGCCACCGATGGATTTCAGCCCCTGACACACATTCCAACCAGAGAAATTGGATCACTGCTTAAACGTTATTTTTTGATGGATACCTATGTCAGTAGATGCCCTGTTTTTTATTGTTTGTTTTTTTTATTAAACAGTATATTTGTTTATTTCCATCTACCTGAATATTCAAGAAATCTTATAAGCGCTCTCAGATATATTTTTCTAATAAGATTTCTCGAATATTCAGGTAGATGTAAATAAATAAAAATACTGTTTAGTAAATAAATAAAAAACAGAGCATCTACACAAATATGAGTATCCATTAAAAACAAGATTTATCAATAAATTAAGATATGATTAATAAATACAAAAATACATTCCGATATATATATATATATATATATATATATATATATATATAGAGAGAGAGAGAGAGAGAGAGAGAGAGAGAAAAGAGGGAGAGAGGAAGAGAGAGATGATGATGAAAATAGTTTTAAGGTATGCTATGTTTATGGGTTAATTATGGGTTATCAGCGATAGAGCGTATGTAAATATAAAAGTAGACAAAGAGACCAACACCCAACGGCGACAGACTGTGTCAGGCTTAAATGCAATCGTCAGACCACGTATTTTAGCTCGACTATTTCTTTATGCTGGTCAGTGGTGCATTATGAGTAGGTCTATTGTATTATTCTAACGATTATTGGATGAGCGGTAACAGTTATGTTTCAAATTATTTTGTGGACTATTGAGTGGAAATAATTGTGAATCCGAATGCAGACTGTGGCTTTTTTTATAGTTTTGTTTATTAATTGTATTATAGATTGCTTTGGTATTTGTTGTTGATTTTTATTATTGTATTTGCTTGTGCTTATGTGTGCATTCTTAGTTTGTTAATTTGTTTATTATTTACGTAATTTATTTATTTATTTATTGATTTGGATTATTTCATTTTACTTATTTATTTAATTTTATTTATTTTTTTATAATTCGATTTATTTTATTTATATGTATTTATCTTTTTGATTCCTTTTCATTTTTCGATATAAAGTAATGGAATAAATATTTGTTTAGTGCCTGCATTTTGTATCGTTTATTTAGTCATTTGTGCTTGTCTGGGAAGGTAATTATATCTATTTTCTCCTCCAGACAGAGTTTGAAGTTTCTGGATTTATTATTGTAGGCTGATGCTGTTTTCCTTATTTTCCATTATATTTTTGATTTGATTTTTTTGTCTCTAATTTTACATATATGTTTAGAAAGCGTTGTGTTGTTCGGGTATTTACCATTTGTAAAGGTGTGTGTGTGTGTGTGTGTGTGTGAAAATATATAGAAAATAGGAACTGGTTAGGTAAATAATCCAAAGTCCCTTAGTATTTTAGTTATTATTTTTTAAAAATAGTGCTCGAAACAAAAGTAGAGCATAAATATAATTATTTATTTAAAAATATGATTCCAAAACGCTACATAAGACGTCTCATGTTTCAAAACAAGAGCCGAAAACTTCAATATAATTATTTAAATTAAATTGAGTTAAAATAAGCTCTGTTCCATCTTCAATCGAAATTTTTTTGGAATCAATTCCAAAAAAAATATATATATATATATATATATATATATATATATATATATATATATATATATATATATGAAATAAGCTCTGTTCCATCTTCAAGCGAATTTTTTTTTTTGAATCAATTCCAAATATATATATATATATATATATATATATATATATATATATATATATATATATATGAAGAAAATATACAGAAAAACAAACAAAAATCTTAATATGCAATTATGCTGTATTAATGTTAATAATATTAAGAATTTTGTTTGTTTTTTCTGTATATTTTTCTTCATACTGTCGGATCTATATCCATATATTTGCTTACATATATATATATATATATATATATATATATATATATATATGAAAAAATATACTTACAAAACAAACAAAAATCCTAATATGCGATTATGTTGTTTTAATGTTTAATGTCAACGTCAGACGTTTCGGTCTAATAGACCATCTTCAGGACATATTCATAAAACATAATTAACATAGACCATATACAATTCAACATGAAAAAGACGATGGACATAAAAGCAATACCAATCCAAACAGATAACTGAAATCTTTTCGTTTAAATATGATCACGTCGGCGTCACGTCGGCGATGTTGTGAAAACGTATTCCTAAAATTTGAGTATTTTGAATGAAAAACGAAAAGAATTTTATTTTGATCTAAAACTTATATGTACGTTTGTCGAGCATTAATCTTGCCAGAAAAGGGGAAATATTAAAGAAGCCAGATGGCGGGATGGTGGGATGAAAAGTTCATAGGCTGACTACGAAAGTGTCAAACGGCCGAAACGTTGTGATATAAACAACAAGGATGGGGACAATGTTTCGAATATAAATAACTAAATAAGCCGGGGTCATATCTTATGACAATAAAATCGATTTTTGCCGGTATTAGTTCTTGCGAAGTAGCATAAGCAAATAATCGAAGGTTTTTTTATAGCTAAGCATTTATTTTATGAGTAAATAAACGCAATCAATTTTTAGATTTTATTTGGCTAAGCCGTAAGAAGCTTAAAATAAAATAAAAACAACTAACGAAAGCGACTGTTATAAGAATATTTTGATTGTGGTCACTTGTTTAATTAATATCCTGAAAATGAGGTTGTGGCTATAGTCTCTAAAATACGTTGTCTTCAACAGCCATAAATAGATCTGCGTGCATGTGTACTCACACGGACGCAATGTTCTGACAATCCAACAGGTTGCTAGCACAATCACTACAAAGTAATGTGGACAGTTTTATGCCATTGCAGATTGAGGCGCTGAGTGTATAGCTCAGGCGTTACTGTTTAGATAAGAAAGTGATAAGGATAGTCATTTTATCAGTATTTAAAGTCACAGGTTTTGTACATTATTATATTTTTTTTTATAAATATACTTTGTAATCATGAAACTAATAACCTTTAAATTCAAATTGATGAGACCAAGAAAAAAAGTGGTTCTTATTTTTTTCATGTCGCTGAAAACCAGATCAGGGATTCTCAACATGGGACTGAGAAAATTTTAAAATGGGCCTGCAGTTGGCTCAGGGAAACGTAAATTCATTGCAGATTGTAAAGAGAGAGTCTGATGCTGAACCAAAGCTTGAAAAATCAGTTTCACAAGCTGATAGATAGGCACCAGGAGCCGGGAAGTCATTGCCCTACACGCAAGTCGCTAGTGGCCAGCTGGCGGGACGCCGATGGCACCGCCAGAAATCCTCGATGTCAGCCACCGGCAAGCCTCCAGCCTGTAGCGGTCCGCCAGTAGTAACATGCCGAGACGCACACACCGGCCGTCCGAAGCGGGCCAATAGCGGACCACCAGCGGTAAACACTAGTGGCATGCTACCCAGTGGCAGATTGGTTGCTTGCGTGTAGAGTGGTTAGGATTTGTATTTTCTACTATATTTTGCCTTTGTAAATAAAATGTATTTCCTCTTACGTGAAATTTCTATTTGCGCTTATGTGGACTTGAAATTTGTTGACACCATAAATGTGTCACAAGGAAGAAAAAGGTTGAGAAAATGATGGTCTTCGTGATGAGTATAAAAACGATCATTGACCTAATCTGGATCCCCACCTTTTTATCTTCCGTTCGCAAAGTGATAATATAATATACGACTAGATTTAAAGGTCTTATTTGTCTACATTCACTGCATATACCTTTAGTTAAACATTTCGGTAACAAGTTGAATTTAGTGAAGTACACGATGAGAATCAATCTCAAGATATTAGCAGTAATCTGTGCGAATTGCAAACGGACCAATACCGTACATAAGGAATGAGAGACATTTACGAAGTCAGCCTAGTGTGACACAGGGTCATAAGAGTTGAGTACTTATTAAACAATGATTTATTCGAATTCATCTTGTTATAGTCAAAACGCTTCGGCTCTTTTACTCTCCTGCTTCTCTGGGTGCCTACCGTAATCTGTAACGATCTTTGAATTTCGAAACGTACCTTTTATTCAATCAGACTATTCTCATGCCACTGTCCACGACATTTAATTCTTTGGATATTTTGTCTTTTGTTAATTAATTCTTGTAATGTCATTTCTGTTCGTTTCACCGAACTAAGGTAAGACATGTCTCCTTAAACAATTTAGACAAGTTCTGTCTACTTATTCTTAATATGATCCTCTCATATTTACGGACGAGTTTCTTAGTAGTCTTATTAAAGGAAAAAAAAATTACCTTATTGATGTATGTCCATTTTATTCTCGAGTACTTTTGACATTAGCACAATGTCATCTTCAGGTCTTGTTTTCGCTATGACAAACTTATTGTGTTCATCTTAAGATTGAATTTTTTACTTGTGAAGTGAAAAACGTTAAACTTATGCACACTTTCGGCCTGTGCCACATCTAAGTTACACTTAGAAAAACATCGGGCACCTTGACGTGATGTAATGGTTACCAAGCTTGTCCCGCTAGAACAATTACGACTGAATAGTGAGTTCGATCCCCACTGGGTTGCCCCATAGTTTCGGCCTTTTGCTACATCTAAGCAACGCTTGGAAAATCACTATAAGAAGATTGGTATTACATAGCATTTCATCATTCTTTTCTTTGTTTCAAACGATATTTTCCTGTTTCCTAATACTTTGCTTAGCTTTTGGATCGTATCTTTCGCTATTCCAATGCTCCTTTCAATTTTTCTACACTTGTTCATTTCCTTTTCTATCCGCATGAAGACAGCGTGTACCCAGGAAATGTTCTTAGTAATTCTTTCCGAAATGGCTTACGGACTTATCACGTTGTAACACCTGTTTTTGTATGATCACCGAAGATAAGCAACGTCGAGCCTGGTCAGTACCTAGATGGGTGACCTCTTGGGAATGCGAGATGCTGTAAGCTTGGATGTGCAGGTGGTGTAATGAATAAAGGCTCGGAATGAGAAATCGAAGAACCGAATTCGAATTCCACTCGAGTTGGTTATGCGAAAATACCATTGTGAAAGGTATGAATCCACCTCTTCTTCCCCAGCTATGGGTTAAATAACAGGACTTGTTTCAGAAATCATCATCATCATTAACTCCAAAAAAATAAAAATCGTCATTATCTCCAAAAAATAAAATTCTTACAATCCAAAAATGCTCCGCAAAAAGGTTGATAAGCCATAAAAACTAATCAATCCATCTTTCCCAAATAAATCAAGTTTTCCTAACATTTACAATAAATTTTTGCCGTTGCTTTGGAATATTTTTCCATAGTCTATGAAACATAGGTACACGCTTTTCTGCCTTTGTATATCAAAAGAATATAAGAATGGTTATAAGAATGGCGCTTCGACGTGTGTAATGGTTAGCAAGCTTGTCTCTATATATCAATTACTACTGAATAATGAGTTTGTTCTTCACTAGGTGCTCCTTACTTTCGGCCTTGTGCCACATCTAAGCTTCGCTTAGTAAATCACTGTAAGAATCATATTTCTTATTCCAATGTTTTTTAACAATTTCGCACTATTCCGGATAATTTTAACATATTTTCCTAATATAACAAGTTTTCCTGATAGTTCAAATAGATTTTGCCGCACATGATCAAAAGGTTTTTTCATAGTCATTAAAACTTATGGACATTTTCCATTTCATATTCCGATAGCATTCTGATTGTAACGATCGCATTTTTTGTTCCAGTGTCTTTAACAAAGCCATAATGTTCCGTATTATTCTAATATCTTTCTCGAATAAATTAAGTTTTCCTTGCAGATCAAATAGGCCTTTGTGTCGTACCTTATCAAATGTTTTCGTGTATAAAAGTGACAGTTCTGAAATTCAGTCGGAGAGTATCGAATTTACTAAGTTTAACTTTGATACAAGACAACGGTGTACCCAGCGAGAATTAAACTTACTAAATTGCAAACGGTACTATGACTGGCGCCCAATTCTTTGACCAGAATTTAATCATATGTATTTGCGTAGCCGTTTGTCATGCACATCTTACAAGCTATTGTAAGTTATTTTATTCTCCACTGGCTAATTAATAGATTCTTGTCACAAATATGAACGCAATTACTCTATCTAGGGAGTCGGCCACAAATAGCAGATTAAATTTAACTGAATCTGACATAGGGTTCACTGGCGACAAATTGGTGTTGGGTTCTTAAATATATAGAGCGCGGCCACGCTTTTATCTGGCTGTCGAAAGCAAATAATACGAAATATTCGTAATAAAAAAAATAAAGAGGGTTAGGAAGAAGTCAGAAAAACATAAATTATCTTTTTATTTTCTAGAAAAATCTCCTGTCCTGAACAGGAAAGGTGGTCTTTACAAGTCCGGCACGTCATGTTGCAAAAGACTATCTCTACTCACAAATCCGGGAGACGTTTTGTAATAGCGGTGCCTACCTGAAACTCTTCTCTTTGTCAAGAAGTTGTTCTGTTGATTGGCTGTTGAAGGCGTCGCATACTAATTGAGGAAGAGAAAAGGAAAATTCAACATTAGGATGGGAACGTCCTACCTGCTTTCAAAATGATCGTTCGAAATCTACTGAAACCGGTAGAAGACACGCAACTATCTTAACCAAGAGTCAACTGTCAAGAGAACTAATAGTTTGCTTTATTTATTTTTTTTGCTTTTTTTTTGCTTTTTTTGCTTTTATTTTTTTTGCTTTTTTGTTTTTTGTTTTTTTGCTTTTTTTGCTTTTTTGCTTTTTTTGCTTTTTTTGCTTATTTATTTTTTGCATTTACTTTTTTCTTTTTTTGTTCTTTGCTTTTTTTGTTTTTTGTTTTTTTTCTTTTTTGCCTTTTTTTGCTTTTATTTTTTTGCTTTTTGCTTTTTTGCATTTATGTTTTTTTTTGTTTTTTTACTTTTTTGCTTTTTTGCTTTTTTTTTTGCTTTTTTTGCTTTTATTGCTTTTATTTTTTGCTTTTTTTTTTGCTTTTTGTTTTTTTGCTTTTTTACTTTTTTCTTTTTTTTTCTTTTTTTGTTTTTTTTGTTTTTTGTTTTTTTGCACCACTGCTTCAAATGAAGACAGTTTGTCTTGAAAATCAACTTTCGAAATCCTGGCCTTTTATCGGGATTCAAACATCAGCTTAAGGGAAATACGCAATTATTTCAGTCACGAGGCAAGCTGCTAATTGACGTAGCAAAACAGGGTCGGTGCGTACTACCACTAAAACCTCGAACGGATGGGAGCAATTTTCATTGGGTAGTGCTTTGTGATCCTTGCATAGTTATCAACGTTTGCTTTTTCTACCAATATTTATATGCGTTACAAATTCAACTAAGCACAACTATGAAAGGATTAAAATTGTCGCTGATTTTGACGTTATTCTGTGGTCTTTTTTTTTTGTCCAAATCTGTGAATTTGTTTTGTCCATGCTAAGTTTCGAAAAAACACTATATAAAATTCATTATTTTCACCTATAATGTTGAATGTGTTAAAATTATTCAATTTTTTAACAAAAAAAGCTGATGTTTAAAAATTGCCGCAAAACTTTGTTGATTTATTTCGGATGGAATGATCTATTATGACATGTCTCTAATTTGTATTTAGATACATTGTATTTATTTTCGAATTTTCTTGTTGAATTGTTCACTTATATTGTATATGATCTATTATTCTACATAATTACATAACAATAAAATTTGTATTTTATTCGAATACCACCTTATGAAAATTGTGATGTAGTACAGTGGGGGAATATCATAGATTCGAGGAGGTGGCTCTGAATATGAAACACACACAAGTAATATTTATATTTAAAATCTCACTTCTCAAGTAAATTTCATTCACATTTTTCAGTCTTCAACAAATATTAATTTGTCACCTTATTTGGTGTAATTTAGTCTTCTTTCCTTTATTGCGGCCATATCACGTCGAAACATTGGTTCTTGTCCGATCTACCAACGTTAGGCAACTCTGAGCCTGGGCAGTACCTAGATGGGTGACCGCTCGGGAATACCAAGTGCTGTAAGCTTGGATGTTCGGGTGGTGTAATGGATAAAATTTGTATTTTATATGAATAACACTTCATGAAAATTGAGATGGAGTAGATGCCCCCAACCCCCGTATCATAGATTCGTGAGGACCCTTCCATCGGCACTGTAACCAAGTGTAAGTGGTGACAGGCCGATCTAAAAATCAGCGTTCGAGATGGCCTTTGAAGTTGGCTTGAACGCAGACCACCGGGACCAGTAGGAAACAAATCCGACTTCGGGTGTAGAACACGATAAAGTGAATAACAGGTCATTAATAGCCCGTCATTTAGCAATAAATGACAAATGAGGGATTGCAAGCTTGATATGTGGCAAGGGCATTGATATGATTACAGGGAAATCCGTTTTCGCTGTCGTTCGTTCACGTCCCAATCCTTGTCTTGTAAGAAACTATGCATCATCTTCCGGGGTGGTATCCAGAACAACGGCTGAGTCATGATCACAACCAATTTCGTTTTCGCGCCCCGCAGGCGTTGATGCACAATTTTCTATATCTGCTTTAGGACGACTCCCTTGATTGTCGACTGATTAAGGAGCTCGTCAAACAACTCGCTTCTATCATTCGATACCTCCAAGTGATTGTTTATTCATTTCATCGTTCCTAAATAACATAAGAGGGTGCGTCGAAATATACTCGGTCAAAACGAGAAGACCATCCTCACCAAAAAAAAAAAAAATTTAAATTTAAAAAAATCTGATGTTTGGTCATTTCATCACAGTTTGAAAAGTGGGTTGGATCGGGGTCGATACTTTGCCCGCACCCTCTCATCATAACTCTAGTCTTTGCAACTCCTAAATCATCAAAATTGTCATTGCTATTTCCTCAACTTATCATTTTCTCTTAGTGATTTTATTACTTTTTTATTTATATTTCGTGTCTAATTACTTTCCTTTTTCTTTCTTTCTTTCTTTCTTTCTTTCTTTCTTTCTTTCTTTACTTCTCTCTCTCTCCCCCTCCCTTTGTGTCTATCTCTACCTCCAGATAATACATATCTCAGTTTGCACCATATCTATCTATCTATCTATCTATCTATCTATCTATCTATCTATCTACATATATATATATATAGTTTGAAAAGTGGGTTGGATCGGGGTCGATAATTTGCCCGCACCCTCTCATCATAACTCTAGTCTTTTTTACTTTTTACTTTTTTATTTATATTTCGTGTCTAATTACTTTCCTTTTTCTTTCTTTCTTTCTTTCTTTCTTTCTTTCTTTCTTTCTTTCTTTACTTCTCTCTCTCTCCCCCTCCCTTTGTGTCTATCTCTACCTTCAGATAATGCATATCTCAGTTTGCACCATATCTATCTATCTATCTATCTATCTATATATATATATATATATATATATATATATATTATAAGTTGATTTGGAAGCTAAAAGCTACGAATTTATTTTTGTAATTAAATTCGTAGCTTTTAACTTCCATTTTTGAAACATGGTTAGAACTGTGTAGCGAAAAAACATATTTTAAATAAATCAACTTATAATATTAATGCTCTGTAAATTTACATTGAGCACTATTTTGTAAAAATAAAAATATCTATAAGAACACCAGATTATATATCTTACTGTTCTTTCTTTTTTTTATTTATATATATATATATATATATATATATATATATATATATATATATATATACTCCCTCTTTATGTCTATCTCATTCTTCAAATTCATATCTCATCATCTTGTGGATGATGAATTATTCTCCACTCTCCAACCTCTCTCCCACATACTGGATGTGGCAAACATTTCGCTGCTCTATGTCTACTTCCACGGAAAGTGCTTGCACGAACTACATTCCCTGGACCCGCTAATTCAAACCTTCACGGCAAGGAGACACCATGCCACTTACATAGAAGCAAATCACCCACATTTCTTCCGCATTCCATCGGTGTGAAGTAAGTTCCACTCTAACAGCTTCTTCCCGAGAACCACTGCTATGTGGAACCGACTGCAAAGAGGATGTTTCCTCGATCACTGTAATCTTAAGCTGTTCAAAGTTAGGGTCAACCAATATCTTCCAGTCTTGGTACACAAATTACTTCCTAACGTAACCTTTTACCTCGAGTGACCCCGGCACTTGTAAAGGTGAACCTTACTGTAAACAAAAACTCATAATATCCGCTTTTTAATTGGCAGTTCTTAAGAAAAGAGCTGTCTGAGGAGAAGTTTCTTCTTGCATATGGTAGACGAAGGAAATTAGGATGTTTTGATTGATTCGTTTTCTAAGGCTTATCAACACTTTGCAGGTTATTTAAAGGCAGAAAACGTTTTTAGATTGTAAGAATTTTTTGACATAATAATGGTTTAGTGATATATCTCTTACTAACTAACCCATAGCTGGGGGAAGAAGTGGTGGATTCAGAATTTTCCCAATGGTATTTGCGTGAAAATGAATAAAAAGAACCCAATTGGAATTAGAACTCCGCACTTCGTTTGGTTAACAATTCCTAGCCATCAGAGTCTGTCTATATTTCTGAGATGAGGTATTATGTACATTATTTGCATTATTCGGACTATTGTCCTCATCTTTGTCGCCATATTTATCACAACGTTTCGGTCGTTGTACGCTCCGGCCTTCTTCAGGTGGTTGGAATGTCGAACTGAACCCTTTATTTCGCTCACTGGGGTAGACTGTTCTAGTTCCACGTGCCATGTTTGATGGATGCCAGCTATCAGTTATCTCTTGTTAATTTTCCCTCTGAAAGTTCTCTACTGTCTTAACCGGGTATTGAACTCACACTCTTTGCGTCTTGTCACTGGATCTAACCAACGCCTTTATCCACTGTGCCATGTGTCCTTGCGTGGATAAAGGCCTTCGACATTCCAACCAGCTGAAGAAGGCCGGAGCGTATAACGGCGGAAACGTTGTGATAAATATGGCGACAAAGATGAGAACAATAGTCCGAATTCCTAGCCGTATATATTATATGCGTTTCACAGACGATATTGACCTTACAGCAGGCAGTAACGTTGAGCTGCAAGACCTAGCCATGAATCTCGTTGAAATAACCGCTGTATGTGGAATGGAATTCAACACAAAGAAATCTAAAACAATGGTGAATAGTACATGCAACACCAGTGCCAGTATCACTATGGACAGTGAATCACTGGAGGAAGTGTCCAGCTTCAGATGTTTGGGAGCAACACCGTCAAAAGATGGCATCTGCAACGCAGAAAACCGCACACGGATCGTCACTGCTAAACTGGAAAGGACATGGAAGAGCAACATCAGCTCCGAGATCAAGTTCTAGCTCTACAAATAGCTCGTCTTATCCATCCTCCTCTACGCGTGTGACACTTGGACACTCCTGGTTGAGGCAGAAAAAGGACCCAAGCGTTCCAGAACATATGCTTGAGAAAGCTCCTCCGCATATCCTACTGGGAGCACACGAAACCAATGACGGAGTAAGGTCAAAAGTCTCGTGGGCCGACAGGAATCGCTTTTCGCCACTATTAAGCGTCGGAAGATGTTACTGTTTGGTCACGTCAAACGGCATAACAGCCTCTGCAAGATCATTATGCAAGGTACTGTTGAAAGCGAACGCAAGCCGGGACGACAGCGCAAAATGCTGGTCAGAGAGCGTCAAAGAGTGGATGGACATGACAATGCTGGAACTCCTGATAGCCACCGCCAACAGATCATCCTGGAGGTAGTTTTCTGTTTCTTCAGCCCTTAAGTACCCCCGACGATTGAAGCAGTCAAGGGGCTGATGATGATGATGATGATGATGTCCTGGGGCATTGGTGGAAAGATTTCCCGTTGTCTTCTCAACGGTTTTTGAATTCAGAGTTGTATATCTCGTAAGCAGGCTTAGAAAAAAAAAGTCTACTCTTCTATTTAAACTATAACTGTGACAGGGAAAATAGATCAATCCATTTCTCAAGTGCATTAGCACGAAGTGAACGAAACAGGCCTGGCCGGGATGCGAACTCGGCTCGTTGATTCCACACGCGGTACCGATAACTTTATCGAATCCGCTGAATGCATCGATCTAATAGAGGAACATTATCAGCCCTCAAAATCTTACATGTCTGGCAAGGACCCCAAAACGGAAACATTTCAACCTTCAGCAGTACGACAAGGAGAAAATTAGAGCCCCAATCTATGTAATAACTTCTTAGACTATTCCGTATTCCACATTTACAAGCACAGATATAAAGAGATGGGAACTGATCATTTAATTAAACCATACCGTCGTCATCGCATTGGAGCATCGGGATCGTCATCCTCTCTCCTTATTCCCTTTCCCCGCATCTGGTGACGGTGGCGAAGACGACCGTGAAGGCCCAGCAAACTTCTGGGGAATCGGGAACAGGAGTCACAGAATAGTGTGGGTGGTAGACGCGCGTGGGCGAGTCGAGCACTCATAACAGCACGTTGCAAATCCTCTTCATACAACATCCCAAACGAATCTACTGATAGAAAACGATAATCCTCATTTCTCTCTCTGAGCCAATGCACTGATAATGGCGGGGGGGGATTCTATACCAATGATATAACTCTTTATAGTTGGAAGAAGAATAATCTTGAATAAAAACATCCACATCCTCTACCAAGTTTTCCAAGAAATAGGACTGAAAATAAACCTTTTGCGATGGAAGTAGTTTCACCCAACACCGCCAATTGCTACTAAACCAAAACATTAACCTGAAAACACGTCTTGTTCTTAAATAGTCGCGTCAGATTGAGACATTCATACGGATGTCATTCTTGGCGTCAAAAACAATTCAGGTCTTGGCGAAGACCATCTTTCTGCTTTGCTGGCTGGCGCTACACAATCCCAAAGAACTATACTAGATAACAGAAACCACATCACTTGAGGACTTTCAACAGTAGCGACAACTAAAATGGATAGCATATTTAATTCGAAGAGAAAATAATGACATAATGAAGATGTTGACATTCCACACTGCTTTAAACAAAAGAGTGGGAAGGAAACCTCTATCACTACTGGAAAGAGTGATAGCAGC